TTCATTTCTAAACCGAAGGAAACTCACATTTGTTGGCATTGTTGAGGTGAAGGACAGTGCAGAGGTGCACTCCTCAAGAGGTTGTATGGAAGTGGGTTGTATTTCAAGGAGGGATGCTGGCACGAGGGAAGGTAAACCATGACCCAGGCCCAGCAGTGTTTGGTTCTCCAGTTTTCTGTGCAATGTGCAGTAAGAGAAGTTTGCTGATTCTGCTTGTCCCCATACCATGTACTGAAGATCATTTACAGCCTATTTGTGGGAGATATTTTGTCTTTATTACAGCTTGTCAGATTCAAATATAATTCATTTTCTTACACGTTACCACTTTTTCATAGAGCTTCTGGTTTTTTTACACAGAAAGAATTTTTCTTGGGCCGTGGTGATACAGAAAGGACAGGGCTTTAGCTGAACACTGAAAAGGGGAGAAATTTAGCCCTTCAGTGTGTAGCACTCATGTTTCATCTCCCAGGCAGGCTACCGTTTCTCATCTGATTCTGGCTTCAGTCTTCTTAAGACAAGAAATATGGTTTAAAAACGAAATCAGGTTAAGATGTTGGGCAGCACATTTGAAGGTGAAGAAGGCCTCTGGAATTTTCTTAAAAGATCAACCTGACTGTGAGTCAGCTATTGGCAATAGCTAATGGCTGTTGACGATCCATGATTTTCACTCCCACCAATGATGTTTTATCTAAAATTTTCAGATTTCAGGTGTGAAACCAACATCAGATTTTATAAAAAAAACAGTAATAGGTGACTGAGGGTAATTATCATACTCATTCTGCCTTTGACAAGCAATTCAATGACCTCATTTCATCTGGATGAAACCGCACTTTAAGACACTTTACAAAATTACCCTTCAATTTGAGCTCAGTGCATATTCAGAAAAAGGCAGCTTTAGCTTCTTGTCAGCACAGGTGATGGCCTCATCTTGCATCCTGGAAAGTGTTTTTGCATTACTAGAACATCAGTCACAGCCAGCTGCAATGCTGGCCTGTAATTATAATGTGACTTAGTGCATTCAAAAAATGAAATGTAACTTTATGGCAAGTGGATAGTCTGGCAAATAAGCAAATGCAGAAATGGTTTATGTACCAGTTTGCTCACTTTGATGAAGAGGTCCCAGCAAAGGGGAAGTTTGAAAGCATGTGAGCTCGACTGCCTCTGATATACAAAAAAATTACATCTATTGAGTTCTCGTTGTCTTAATTAGAAAAGAAATATACAGGAAATAGGATTTTTGAACCCAAACAACTCCAAACAACATTGCAGGAGCTGATTACTCGCTAATAAGTGAGAAGAAAGAAGAGTGTCACTAAGTAACAGAGCACCACATTGCCAGAGTAGAATTTTTCTTAAACTGTTTCATAGTGCCAGGAATTGCTTTGGAAATCACCTTATTTTCCATGTTTTTATCACTTATGTGAGAGAGCCAAATATACTTAGAGCCTGCTTCATATCATGCTGAAGACTAGATTTTACCAGTTAGCCTGAGTAAATAGATTTACAGAACAATTGTCTACTTTTCACCTGCAGCACTTTGTGATTTATAGTGCTTGAAAAAATAGTTCATTGTACAGAATTGAGTCTTGGGATAGTGCAGAAATGATTTGATGAGCAGAACGAGTTTCTATTCATTATCTCACTTTAATGTCTAGAAATGTGTAATGGTCACTTTTCCTTGCCATCACCACGTGTGGTGGAAGCAAACAATGACAAAAGAGCCTCCTTCTGTGCAGCGAAGTACAGCGGCCTTGAAAAGGACTTAGAGACATGCCTCTTTAAATCACAGGGCCAGGAGAATTTGCCCTTTTGCTTTAAAAGAAGGGATTTTACCCTCATACTAAAGTTATATTAGTATAAAAGGACTTCGTTTTCCCAATAAAATGTGTAGATGTTGGTCTGCTTTTTGGAGCCATTAGCTTGACATTCAGAAAGCCTAGAGATGTAAGGATGATGTGCAGAAAAAACTGAATGCGATTTTAAATTGATTTCCACTGTAATGCCAGTCCACGCAACCAAAAATTATGTTGTGACTTCACACAAGTATCTTGTGTGCCATCTGAAGGATCTTTTCCCACAGCTTGTTATGCTCTGTGCTTCATTTGAGAAATCTTCACCAGAAACTCTTAATCCTGGCAGCTTTCCTAGTAGAATCAATCTTTTGAGGGTCTGGGTGATCAGTAATGACAAAACCAGCCTTGGTATTAGTATTTCACTTGATAAATTGCAGAGATCTAGGCTTCACTTACGTTTGTCAACAGTGACTTTCCAGTGAAGTGCTTGCAATTTGAAAAATTACCTCTAATGTTTCAGGCTAGGCGGGGAAGTACTTTTTCAAACCATGAGAACATTTCCCTCATGCACCATTAAACCAACTCAGGGGAAAGGAAAGCAGGACAGGGTTGGGAGTACACTTGAGTCTCTAGTAAGGTTGAATAGCCACATGCCAAATTATTTAAGTTTTATTCTTGTGGTCCATGCCATGCAATGATGAAGTGTTTTTATTAATGATACAGGGAGCCACAAAAGAGTAAGAGTTTCTTTTCTTTAAAGCTGCACTTTACTGCTGTGTCTGGGACTGTCCTAATGCTCATCTTGTCCCTTCATTGTGTGTGGTAGATCATGCCCATCTACTCTCATGTCCTCAGTGATGTGTCTGCAGGACCTGCTGCTGATCCCCATTCTCTCTCTCTCTCTTTCTCTCTCTGCACCACCTGTCTCTCCTATAGACACAGATGCCATCTGTGTGGTGGGTTATTAATCTCTGTCTTGCCTCTGTACTGTTACTTCTGTCTAGCCTGAAACTCAGTCTGGGGCTCCAGCATTTTGCAGTGAGGTGACTGGCAACTTGGAGTAAATACAGCTTTTAATTTTCCTCAGTGTCCTCTCTGCTGCTTCCTTCTGTAGGGTACCTTTGCCCCACGTGTCACTCTGCCTGCAGGCTAGACAGAAGTGTGGTCTGAGGGTGCAGTTCCAGGAGAGGCACTTCCAGGGGGTGAATTTTTCCATCTGTTTCTAGCATTGTCTTTTGCTTGTTGCAGTTAGATGTGAATGCCACCCCAAAATCCCTGGTTAACATGGGTAGGGAAAAAAGTGAAATGTGACATGTGATCTCTGCTGGATTTTCAGTGGGGAGATTAGGCAAAATGTTGTCACTGCTAAATGGTGATTCTGGTTGTTTTTGAATACTGGGTGTAAACTGGAAGATGTAATGTGGAATTTAAGTGGCAGTTTTAGATAGCAAGAGTTCAAATGTCACCTGCACTGATCTCAATGTTAAATTAGAGGCTTCTGCAGCTCACAGAAGTGGGATATGGTGCTAAGCAGGATTTTTTTTTTTTAACCCATTTACAAGGTCTCACCTCTTTGGCACTTGCATTAAAAATACAAAGCACAAAGTGAAAACAAAACAAAAACTGTCACTGAATTACTGATCAAAGTAAACCTCTTTCTGGAAGGTGACTAGGCTCAGATATGCATGAGGGAGCCACTGGGATGTTCCTCTGGGCTGGGCAAGCCCCTCTGCAGTGACTTCAGATTTTGCAGTGGGCTGGCATGTGTCTTTCTCACTTCTCAGCATCTGCTCCACATCTTCTGTGGGTGTTCAAATTGTCCCCTAGATTTTGGGTCTCAGCTGTGTAGTCTTTCAGAAATTACCAGCTTCCCACAGCAGGACAAGCCCATCTCCTTTGTACCTTTTGTCTTGTCATAACATCATCTCAAAGAGAGGGCAGGCATTGCCTCGATTTGTGGCAATTGTTGCTGTGTGATACAAGTAAAGCATGAGGTATAAAAGTTAGTATGTGTATTTCACAGCTTGTTTCTGAGAGTGACAGAAGGAGTTCAATGAATTTGGAGATCTTTCCCAGTGGCAGCCTGTGCTGTACTCTGAAGGATTTAGTCTAGTTGATATACCAGTAAAAAAATCGTTCACACGTTCCTGCTCCTAATGGAAAAAACTCCACTGTTCTCCATTGGTACCTAGGCATATAAAATTCCTGAGGTATGGTCAACAAGGCACACAAAGAGAGCTGTTGACTGTTGAGATGGAGGACAAAGTGGTCCAAAAAAGAAAAAGGTGGTGGAACATCTGGAGAGATCAAATGCACCCTCAGCAAATTTGCAGAAGACACAAAATTAAGTGTGAGCGTTGATCTGCTGGAGGGTAGGAAGGCTCTGCAGAGGGATCTGGACAGGCTGGAGCAATGGGCTGAGGTCAGCTGTATGAGGCTTAACAAGCCCAAGTGCTGGGTCCTGCACTTGGGTCACAGCAACCCCAGGCAACACTCCAGGCTTGGGGAGGAGTGGCTGGAAACTGCCTGGTGGAGAAGGACCTGGGGGTGTTGGTGGGCAGCCAGCTGAACATGAGCCAGCAGTGTGCCCAGGTGGCCAAGAAGGCCAATGGCATCCTGGCCTGTGTCAGAAACTGTGTGACCAGCAGGAGTAGGGAGGTGATCGTGCCCCTGGACTCGGCACTGGTGAGACTGCACCTTGAGCACTGTGTCCAGTTTTTGGCACCACAGGATAAGAAGGACATGGAGGTGCTGGAGTGGGTCCAGAGAAGGGCGACGAGGCTGGTAAGAGGGCTGGAGAACATCCGTTATGAGGAGCTGGGTTGTTTAGTCTGGAAGAGACTGAGAGGAGACCTTATTGCTCTCTACCTAAAAGGAGGTTGTAGTGAGGCTGGTGTTGGTCTCTTCTCCCAAATTACTGATGCTAGGATGAGAGGAAATGGCCTCAAGTTGTGCCAGGGTAGATTTTGATTGGATATTAGGATGAATTTCCTCATTGAGAGGGTGGTTAGGTACTGGAATGGGTTGCCCAGGGAGATGGTGGAGTGATCATCCCTGGAGGTGTTCAAAAACGAAAAGATGTAGTGCTGGAGGCTGTGGCCTAGTGGCTAAGG